GTCCCCCTCCTGATATTTTAAAATCCATATATACATTACTCATCCATTATGGTATAGTACCACACCATTCTATTTATTTTTATTTTATAAGGTATTTTGATTTCTGATAGATCCAGTTGTTCCTCATTCTTTTTTTCTTAATTCTTTTGATACTTTAATCTGTGTATTCTTCCACTGCACAATTCAGAATCATTTTTCCAAGTTCCAAAAATGTTATGCTAGTGTAATTAGTTGCATTTATTCTACAAATATTTAGCTCTTACAATACAAATATGGCATGTATTTTCCATTTGATTTCATTTTTTCATCTGTCAATGTTTCATATTTCCCTTTAATGTGACATTGATCTTTTTATCCTTAAATATATACATATATATATATATATATACCCGTAAATATCCTACATTTTATCTTGCATTGTAAGTAAATCCTTTTTTCTTTTTTAAATTTTAACAAATAATTGTACATATTTGTGGGGTACACTGTGCTATTTCAATACATTCATATACTGTGTATTGATTCACTTAGGGTAGATAGTATAGCTTTGTACCCATTAATCCACCATTTCCCCTCTCCCCCCCCTTCTCTCTTGAGCTTTAGTAACCATTATTCTACTCTAGTAGAATCCTTTTTTAATAACTTGTAATATAGCATTATATTTCTTATAGAATGGTGTGTGCGTGTGTGCATGTGTGTGTGTGTGTGTGGTGTGAATTTATCTATGTCTGGGTACTCAATTCAAATAGTTATTTAACTCGAGGAAGTTAAACCAGGAATGCAAGACTTCCAGGAAGATGATGGACTAGAGGTACCCGGGGCACGTTCCTCCCAAAGAAGATCAAAACCGTCTCCCTGCCACCACTGCCACAGTTGCTGGAGCTTTGTTTGGTCTCAGAACCATCACCCACTGCAGAGCAGCTCTCTGCAGATGGCGCATTGCAGCAGCCACATGAGGGAGGCAGCTGCATCACCACAGCCATTGCTGCCACTGTGAGTTAACTCCACTGCTGTCAAAGACACTGCAGATGCGAGGGAGGCAGTGACAGCTGCCGGTGCCACTGCCACCCTCATGAGGTAACACTGCTGCCACCAAGAACACTGCAGATATGAGGGAAATGGCTACAGCCATTGGCTCCACTGTTGCCACCACAAAGTAGCCCTGCTGTTGCCAAGGACACCACCAAGGACACCACAGACATGAGGAAGGCAGTTGCAGCCCCTGGCATCACTGACACCTCCATGAAGCAACCTGCCACCACTGCAGACACTGCAGACATGAGGGAGGCAGCTGCAGCTGCCCCCACAAGGTAAACCCGCTGCTGCTGCAGACACCGCACATACAAAGGAGACAGTTGTAGCTGTCAATGACACTTCTGCTGCCATAAGGTAACCCCACTTCCACTGCGGACATCATAGCTGCACGGGCAACCACTGTGGACACTGCAGCCAAACAGGCGGCTGCTGAAACCACCACCGCTGCAGTTGCCACTACCACCAGCACTACCAGGCAGACACCATTGTTGTGCAAGCAGCTCACCACTGCTGGAGCCACTACTGCCTTGAGGGCAGCTTGCTAAAGTCATCATTACAATAACTGCAGCTGCAAGGGTGGCCTGCTACCACAGCAGCAGCTGCTGCAGTGACTGCCACTATGCAGGTGGGCCACCAAACACTTGAATGAATTGACACAAGAAGGTCACCAGTGAAGTCTTGGGAAAGAGAATAATAGAAGAAACAACTGCTCTGCTAGATGGCCAGACATCAATGCAGAGATACTAGAAATATGACAAAACAAGAAAATATGAGTCCACCAAAGGAATATAATAACTCAAGTACTACACCCCATAGAACAGGAAACCCTTGAAATGACTGAAAAGGAATTCCAAGTAAAAATCTTAAGGAAACTCAATGAGATACAAGAAGACGCAGTTAGAGGACACAATGAACTGAGCAAAGTTATCCAGGATATGGAGGAGGAAATTTACAAAGAGATGAATACTTCAAAAAAGAATGTAGGAAAACTTGTGAAACTGGAGGAGTCATTCAACAAAATAAGAAACACAACTGAGAGCTTAAGCAGCAGGCTAGAGCAAACAGAAGAAAGAATTTCTAATGGTGAAGACAGTTTTTTTGAAATAACTCATGCAGACAACAACAAAAAAAGAATTTAAAAAAATGAAGAAAATCTAAGCGAGATAGTAGACAACCTTACATGCACAAACATCTGAATCATGGGTATTCCTGAAGGGGAGGAGAAAGGAAAAGGCATTGAGAACATATTCAATGAAAAAATAGCAGAAAACTTTCCAGGAATAGGGAGAGACATGGACCTTCAGATTCAGGAAGTTCAAAGATCACTAAAGAGATTAAACCCAAAAAGGTCCCCTCCAAGGCTCATTATAGTCAAACCGGCAAAACTCAAAGAAAGGAGAGAATCCTAAAAACAGCAAGGAAAAAGCATCAAGTTCACCTATAAAGGACTCCTCATCAGGCTAACAGCAGACTTCTCAACAGAAACTTTACAGGCCAGAAGAGAGTGGGATGATATATTCAAAGTACTAAAAGAAAAAAAAAATGACCACCCCAAAGGTATGCTTGTTCTAATCCCCAGAACCTATGAATGTGTTTCCTTACATAACAAAGGGACTTCACAGGATTTAAACTAAGGATTTGATATGGGAAGATTAGCCTGGATTATTCAGGTAAACACAATTTAATCACCTGAGTCCTTAAAACAGGAGTACCTTTCCCAACTCTGGGTAGAGAGAGATGCTGTGACAGAAGAAGGGTTAGAGAGATGTGAAGTGAGAAGGACTCAACCCACCATTGCTCGCTTTGAAGTTAGAAGAAGGGAGCCACACAGGCAGCCTCTAGAAGCTAGGAAAGGCAAGGAACCAGATTCTCTCCTGGGAGCCTCCAGAAAGGAACTCAGCCCTGCTAACACTTCTAATGTTTATCGCAGCTCTATTTACAATAGCCAAGATTTGGAACCAACCTAAATGTCCATCATCAGATGTAAGAGAAGTGTGGTATTTTTACACAATGGAATACTACTCTGCCATAAAAAAGAGTGAAATTTTTGCCATTTGCAGCAATATGGACGAACTTAGAGAAAATTATGTTAAGTGAAATAAGCTAAGCACAGAAAGAGAAATACTGAATGTCCTTACTCATAAGTGGAAGCTTAAAAATAAACAAATAAATAAAAAAGGAAAGAAAGAGAGATACAACAATCACAATAATAGGTTGAACTTTCACAGGGAAAGAACAAACAGAGCTGAGGTTACCAGAGGTGGGAAACGGGGAGGAGGGGGGTAAGGGAGGAATTGGTAAAGGGCCACCAAAAACAATTACATCGTATAATGTC